GGACGGCGGTTCTGCGTTCCGGACTGAGGGTTCCGAGGCCGTGGTCAGCCAGTGATGGGTGTTGGAGTGGTCATTGTGACGGAATGGCCTTTACAAGTAAGAGTATCTAGAGAGACATTCCTACTCAAGAATGAAAGTAAAACATGGCCTCCTGGGAAGAGCATGATCCAATGTAGACTGGCTTCAACATCTTGTCACACTTGTTGTATAAACATGTTTTAAACTATCACCCTTTGCACCAACTGATAGAGTAGACATGAATCGCCCTCAGGTGTCATCGACAGTACCTCAGGTGTCATCGCCAATCCCACTCACACAGCCGTACTGTGTTGGTGAGTGAGTAGAGGCACACTGCGCCTCGGATCAGCGAGATGGTCCATGGTTTTGGAACAGATCTGATGCCGTCCATTGAGTTGACTCCAAAGCACACGCAATCCTTTTCCATGTCCAACGTCATGAATGGTCTTTGCCCGGATTTGTGGTTTTCTTGTGCGATTGAAGAATCACATAAGGATCGTAACGGCTCCTTCAAGGAGCAATTGTCCAAAGGAGATAGCTAAATGTATATGTACACAATTGCACCACTGCACACAATTCGGGGATAGTGCAAATGGACAATCCCACTGTAAGTGAGATATGTCTCAGGCTGTGCGGTGAAGCCTTTCAAGCTTGGGAGGACTTGGCCAACACGGCCCCTGAGCTGCGCGGGGTGGTGTCGTCAGACCAGATAGCCTTGGATCAATCGAGTACAGGAAAGGCATCTACAGTAAAATCTGATAAGTCTACATCTCAATGACATTCAATGACACCCTGAAGCTGTTGGAGCCTGGTAAAGGCATAAATGTTTGACAATCTTTGGAAACCAAAGCCAGTGTAATGCCAATGATGCCAATGGCTTGTGATTTGCGTTCGTTTTTGCTCCAAGAAGGCTTCCACACAGGTGCCACCCCATGGCTCGGTCTCCTTGGCTCCACATCTTCGGCTCTGGAAGGTGCACTACGGTGCACTGGTGGCCATGCTGAACCCCGCGCCGATGGCGCCGACTGAGCGATGCAGAGCCGGAGCGGGTGGCAGCTGGGTCGCGGCCAAGGTGACGCATTCGACGCAGCTCGTGTTGCTGGGATTCTTGGATTGAAGAAGTGCGGTGACGGAGAAAGAAAAGGAACAGAGAGTGGAACAGAGAACATTGGGATGAACATCAACATTGGAACTATGATGAACTTTAGCGACTCGTAGGAATTAACAACCCCTTGGGGTCGACTTGGAGTCGAACTAGCGTTGTGTTGTTTTAAAGTGGTTGATATATATGTTTTGTGGGCCATGTTGACTTTTGTTTCGACATGCTTTCCGGACTGCATGGAGTGGACGTCGATGAGGACCAGTGGTCGGTCCCTAGCCACGCAGTCTTCGGTCGGCTCCAGAGAATCTCCGCATGGTGGTGGCGGTCTTTGCCTTGGTGCTAGGTTATGTCTCAATAGACCACATGAACTACACATTTTGAGGAGCCTCCACCAGGGGAGTCTATGTGAATTTGTGATTTTTCTAGATATGTCTAAATATTTTCTAGGCAGAGTAGCAAGAAGCTATAACAACTGGATCGCTACCAGTAACAAGTGCATTGCTACTAGTAACAAGAAGCTAGTACGGCACTCACCAGGAACGGGCCTTGGAGAACCTAAAATGAAAATCCCTTGTTTTCCTACTGGCCGAATTGGGACTCAGAGTTTGGGAGGGGTCCGCGACCCCCCATGAAGTGATGCTTGGCTTGGTTTGACGAACATCCAGTTGTTTTCAATCCCGGCAAAGAGTGCATATGGTTCATCTACATGGAGAATCTACTCTGAGGGTATCAGAGTAGAAAGAGTTCGTGGCCTTTTCCAAGCCCCCATGTACAGCTACGCTATATGTCTCTATGGATCTCCGCAAAACGCAATTGTCCAATGGCCAAGCTGTCTCAACAACACTTCTGCTTAGGCCAATTCCCGTCCTTGGGCTACTGCTCCTCCCGCAAGAAGGATGGCCAGCCTTGTTCGATGCCTTGTGACAAAGAGAAGACGGGCGGGAAATTGGTGCTGTGCTCAGCTCAGTCGAACCAATGTCATCCGTCCCGGAAACTTCAGGTCTCCATTCGCCTTACTACTAGGAACACGAAGCTACTAGGAACAAAGGGCATCGCTACTAGGAGCAAGGACGCTACTAGGGGCTCCTGGCATTACTACTAGGAACAAGAAGCTACTAGTATAAAACCAATTTCTTTAAGCCAATTGGCATCGCAAGACCGCTGTTAAAGGTCATGCAGCCCGATGCTCGACCCGACGACATGTTGCCTAAGCGTTGATGGTCTCGGCGTTGATCACAGTTGCAGCAGCAAAGCTTCATGCATATAGAATGCTTTTGGGAGGGCAGTGCATGCAGCAACATGGGCCAAGGTGTGTTTCTACCACACCATGCACCAGGAAGCACAGAAAGTGCGCATTTTGGCCGGACTGAACAAGTCGCCCTCAGGAGACCGTTCGTTCTGGGCCGTTTTCGGACCAAGGGAAGCTAAGCGAAGTCAAGGCTGGATAGGTTCAGTTGGAAAGAATAAAGGTCCCAACAGCAAGGTCCGAAAGATGTTATGAAAGAACAAGAATTACTTGTTACTAGCAGCTTCTAGCTTCTAGTAGCAATGTCCTTCTTACTAGTAGCGAAAGGTCCCAACAGCAAGGTCCCAAAATTTTTTTGTTCGAACAGACTAGTAGCAATGTCCTTCTTACTAGTAGCGAAAGGTCCCAACAGCAAGGTCCCAAAAGTTTTTTGTTCGAACAGACTAGTAGCAATGTCCTTCTTACTAGTAGCGAAAGGTACCAACAGCAAGGTCCCAAAAGTTTTTTGTTCGAACAGACTAGTAGCAATGTCCTTCTTACTAGTAGCGAAAGGTCCCAACAGCAAGGTCCCAAAAGTTTTTTGTTCGACCAGACTAGTAGCAATGTCCTTCTTACTAGTAGCGAAAGGTCCCAACAGCAAGGTCCCAAAAGTTTTTTGTTCGAACAGACTAGTAGCAATGTCCTTCTTACTAGTAGCGAAAGGTCCCAACAGCAAGGTCCCAAAAG